CGGGCGCCATGCATTTAACCCAGACCACTTCCGGTGGACTTGCACAATCAGCAATGCCATTTTCCCGGGACGGCGACCTTTACACAGGATGGCAGCGTTTTTGCCGCCGCCTCCTTTGAATAACTACTATACAATAATGTACGACCCTTTTACAAACATTTTTTTTATTCGTTCTATGATTATGTCAAAAACTGGGGATTCGTTAGTATCAAATAATGCTCATACAATTCTATTAATATTAACTTATTATTATTATGCATAGAGTTAACGAACTATGTATAATATATACATACTTAAGTATTATCGCATGTCTAACTGTATATTTTTATATAAACAATTTTGTTTTTCAGTTAAACTCGTGTAATTTCATACATATAGGCATAATTCTATGCGTGTTCAATTAGATATTATGTCGTTCATACCGATGTATATTTGCTGAGAAACTATATATATATAAGTTATTTTTCAAAAATGTAACCAGAAGAAATCAAATACCAGTTACGTATTTATACAAATTATGAATTTACAAATACATAATAAATGATCACGGTGATTGTGCTAGTTGTAATATTCACGAACAGTAGTTAATATTTATATTAACATCAGTTTTAATTCATCTTACCAATAAAATATTATGTCAGTATAAAATGATTTAAAATATAACGATATCCATACTATATTAAGCAATTTAATCAACGTATCGCGTCAATCGGATGGAATAAATGGTATAATTATTATTCGGGAAAAACTGGGGGCGTTTTTAAAATCCTTATTTAAATTGTCCGATATTTATTTAAGTCGACTGAATCGGCGGATTATGCGGTAAACCGCTTACGGAATAAACAAACCCCAGGTTGAATGTAATTAGAAAAACCGTTTCAGGGGGAACTTGAAAAAACACTAACAAAAAATGAGGGTGAAAAAAATATGGTGGSTAATTATTTTAATTAGCCGACACATTAACAATTACCGCTTCGACGTAAATAACAACACAACGTGGAAATAGATACTGATAAAACGTACCTATACTTAACATGGACACCGAATCTAATATAATAATCATACCAATAACATAGATACAGTTATTAACTAAGTTTTGTAAACGTGTAGTCAAGTCGCCATAGGATATGATTTTTTCCTTAGAATAAAGGACGAGATCGAAAAAATTGCTTCCGTCATGCGCTGGAGGCAGGGGAAAATGGATTTTTACACTAATTTTTCAAACCCGATAATCCAATTAAACTCCTTTCAGTAGTTGAGTCTTATAAGGGGAAAATAAAAGACAAAAAAGAAAGAGACAGAGAATAAAAGCAAAAACTCAAAGTTTGTGAGGACGGGATATTCTAATTTGACGGCAGACAGAAAAAATTGTAAAATATAAAGAAAAACTTACTGCAGGTACAACGTAAAGACATTTCGGCAACCTCAAGGGACGACGACGATGCTCCGTAGTAAACGCATGTTAAACTTTTATGGTTTCGATTTTTTTTTTTTTATGATAACGCGTGATAAGGGCAATAGTAATAAGTGACTATAATATAAATGTAGTAAAAAATACTTATATAAATGTGCAGGTATACACGTTCAAGCATGTTGTGCTCATTTATTATTAAAACTAGTACGTTTTATTGAACAGTTCGCCACGGTGGAGTGTATGATAAAAACGTATTCAACCGTAAAACGTGCTCGTGGTTTAAGCAAATATAATAAACATACATATCGACATATACTGTATATACATATAAGAAATGGAATGCCAATTGTTTTTTATTGGTGGAACGCATAAATATGAAAAGAAAATTGATTGTTTGATCGAAGTTTAGAAGTGTTCGTTCTTAGTTATTTGAGTACAACCATTTGGGAAATCAATCAGAGATTACTATATAGTTTAAAACAGTAGGTAACATAAAAAAAAAAAGTTTTCCTGTATAGGTATGAATGGGAGTCATTTTTTATTTTTATTTTAAAACATTCGATATTTCGCAAAGAACAAACTAGAGGTTAAAATTAATTTATAAATTATAAGCTATAGTACACAAAACGAAAAAGAAAGACGTAACGTGATGTATAATGATTTCACACTGCACCAAGTTAACTGTGGGTTTTTTTTGGAACAGGGAAAAAAATGGAGTTGTTTATTGTGTCACGTACAGTATTGTAGACTGATCAGTGATTGTTATACGTCTTATATAGTTAATTTATACCATTTACCGTATTTTGTTTTGCGATTAATTGTTTATGAATTTTACAAAAAAATAATTAAATTTGTTCCTATACGTGATAAATTATTAGCCAAATATTTTTAAGAATTTAATGTTCAGTTGCGAAGAAAAATATCGAAAAAATTGATATTCTTTTAATAGTTTCAGTATTATTATATAAATATATAAAAAAAATAAAATAAAATAATACTTTTCAACGGAAAATTATTAAATTTTGAAGATAACTTAGAAGACATGACGGTTACGGTAATAAGTTTCATGGATAGCGTAGTATAATAATTCATTCTTGGTAAAAAAAAAAAAAAAAAAAAAGAGTAAATGAAATAAATTAATAAAGAAATTAAATTAATTCTAAGTGTAAAAATTTAAATTTGATATGAGCAGTTGAAACACGAATAGCCAAATTGTTTTTAATAAAATTCTAAATACTGAATAAAAAAAAAAAAACTACAAGGCAACAAATAGTGAAATGTTCCGGTAAAAAAAGGTGAAAAATATTAAAATATTTTTTCAAAGAATAATCAGCAGTGTATCATGTTTATAAAATGAATTATTCAACAAATATAATTTAATTTAAATTTATATTATTTATTAAAATATTTTTCATCATTATAAGCCTGGCCTAGCACGGATAATACAACCAAACATTATAATTCTATATCATCCTAAAAGTAGGTGTGGTATTAAATATGCTTGATTATTTATATAGATATCAACGCGCCTATTATAGTCTGGGTATCAACCGAATTAAACAATTGGTAAATGGTCCGACTATATAATAGCGACTATGGTTGGTGGTTATGGGTTTAACTTTGGCGTAAGCAAGCGTCGTTTAAAATTTTTAATCAATGATAATTCATCGCATATATAAAACTGTTGTTTGAAAATGTTATCGTTATATTCTGATGAGTTTTTAAAGGCATAATAAATCTCCGTTGAATTCTTAAATGTAATKTAATCATTTTTTGATGAGGTACACATGAAATTCTTTTGGGTCAATTTTAGAGGCCAAAACAGTGTTTGATGAAGAAGAAAAGACACACCATCGTAAAAACCGATAGCATTAAACGTAAGCATATAAAGACTATAAAATGGATTTAAAAAATATACATCATAAGATTTATCCAATAAGAGAGCACACGCCATAAATCATAAAATTAATCAACTACTTTTTTTCGCAAATCTTTAATGGTTTCCGATAAAGTTCTTCCCGAGTATTAGTGAACAACAATYATTGAACWTTTTTTTTATCGTTCTATAATGGTTGGGACTTGAAAGTTGTCTTAAATATTTTATAAGCGTTTAAGTGATCACTACTATAACATTTAGAAAGTTCTCCACAAATAATTTGTAACAAAATATTTTAACAACTTAAAATATTTTTATTTAAATTGTGCAAAAGATGTAACTACCATATAAATTCAAAAAATAATGACTAACATTTACTCAATAGATAATTTTAAAAGTTGAAAGTACTGATTAACTTTTTTTAAGAATTACGATAAAATAGAGGCGAGTTTATATTAATTGATTTCACAATATTGCTTAAAATTTCAATTCCGAAAGAAAGAATGTATTCGTGAACTAATGCTGTTATTTTGTTTATTTTATACTATTTTTCTGTAAAAATTGATACTTTTAGATTCAGTGCAAAATTTTTCTCAATAATTCCACTCTAATTGTGAGGAAAAATATATAACTTGTCTTCAATTATTTTTCAGTGAATTTTGTTTTTCAAATTTCGATTATTTCTCACTTCTGTAAAATGGAATRACTAAAACATACGCGATATTACAAAAACACGTGACTATAATCTGCGTTGACACATTATTCAGTTTAGATCTAGATTTTAAAAACATTTAATTATTTTATTAAAGTATTCTAAAAAAAATAATCATCATTAACTTCTTAAGTGTCACTATAATGGGTGGTTTCTTTAATCACGTCTTTCTCGCCTGTTTTTTTTTTTTGCTTTATTTTTTGTGCTACTATTCTCGCATATGCTTATTGTACCTAAATTGTACAGATTGCATATTAAATGATAAAAATTTAAAAAAAAAAAAAAATCATTAGTATTTATATTAAATAATTTTCCAGTTTAATGTTTTATTGTACGGTCAATCGATAAATACAACTCAAAATAACTGCACGAATAACGAACTGTAGTGTWATTATTTATGTATAAATGTTCTCATTTACTGTTTATTTGGTCCAAATAACATTCTTTTGTTAAAGCGAATTTGACGATCTTCACGGAAATATTTTGGTTTATCGCAACAACGTCAGAGGAAATTGAATGAAACATCCGACGGTTCACGCCTGCCACTAACCCCCCCCCACCATCTTCTTGACGGCGACCCCACACTAATGTTTCACAATTAACCTAATTAATTAACAGTAACCTCGCGAAGGGTATATCGTCCTGGGACATCATAAATTCGTTTGGTCCCGTTTACCTGTACGTGCCCGTAGGTCGGAATCGTAAATTACATTTAATATAAAAGTTAAAAAAAAGCACAGATCCCACCGAATGAAAAAAGAAAAAGAAACAACAAATGAATGGAAAATAATGCGATTTCAGTTTTCTAGTTTGTTCTTTGTTTTTACGTACAATTGGGTTTTCGTTGAAAAATGCGTATWGGTGTAACACGGTACGTATAATATATACAGCAGGCAGACTGCTCGGTAGTCCAAACGAAAATATTATAACAAAACACACACACACAAAAGTAATAATAATAATAATAATAATAAACAAAAAGAAATTATGGCGCTCACCTCTGACCCAAAGTTGCATGGTCGTAGCGTGTTGTGTGCCTACTGTGTTTTCTGCCACGCATTCGTATTTTCCCTGGTCAGTTTCCTGACTGTCRCTGATCTGCAAAGCACCTGAAACACAAAATAAAAAAACACACGCACATTATTCACAGTTTTTGCAATAGTTTTATTTTCTTCTCATCACGACCGACATAGAGATCGGTTTGTGATGGGTTCGAGTTTGAGGGAAAAAGGTGAAACCATTAGGGATGGATAGAACATGATGTTTGATAAACGTCGAGGACTTGTGTAATATAATAATAATAATAATAATAACGGGGCAAAGAGGAGCAGCTCTCAATATAATATATAATATTGTATATATATATATATATATATATATATATATATAAATGTATGTATGTGCAAAGGATTTTACGATTTCCGGTCGCGTTTTTACTGCCCGACAGGCGCCCGTCGCAGTTTACCCCCACCGACCATAATATCTACATACATAAAGCTATCGGAAAGCATCGACCGTGGCAGGACCATATTTTCGATTATTGCGACCTCGACCTCCCTTGTCATCTATTCCGCACAACGTCCTCTCCGCCCGTGCAGCTGCCATCAACCGTCCATTTTGCCCACATCACGGAGCGGACATCATCGGCGTTTATATGCGGCGGAGTTCGACCCCAAAAGCCGACGCGAATATAACGACCGACCCTTCAAATAATATTATAATAATAGTCAACCGGACGAACGGTTTTTGTTGCCGGTCAATTCACTTATTCGACTAGGATTTCTCTCAATTATAACTACGACATGGTAACCGTTATTATTATTATCATTATTACATAATGAAGGTTCAAACGAAGCATCACTGAATAAATATTATGCAGACGTATACAATAGACACAGGTACCTTTCATAATTTTGGTAGTTATATTATAATATAGTCGTGATAAATTAACTATATTTTTGTATTGCTGTGATTTACGGGAAAAAAACTTGTTGATTTGGAAAATTTTATGGAATCAAGCAGATATGGGTAATCTAACAAAAAACAAATGGTTAAGAATTTGATGTTTATTAATATATCATATTATGATATTATGTTAGGTATTTGTAAATATTGTAATAATATTTTTAGTTTTGGTTCCAAATGATGGAAGAAAAACGCGCAAATGAACCGTTTACTGCATCCACGATTTTATAGRGACATTAGCTACCTACAGTTGATGAAGAATAATTATTCAAAAATTTCTACTTTATCATCAATTTAAAATTTAAATGAAGATTGTGAAATAAGTATTAAAATATGAAACATAAATAGGAATAGGTAGCTGTTGATAAGTTTTAAATTATTATTTTAAAGCTATTATATAAGATAAATAATTTATTTTAGAATCTGAATTAATTATCATCAATCAACTCGGGAAACAATTTTTAACGCATATTTTACTTTATTAATAAGAACTTTATTCAGGGTAGTAGCAATAACGTTACCAAAAAAAAAAAAAAATTAAATTCTTATGATAAAAATAAAAACTAATATAAACCATATTAGGTATAACTCAAATATTAGATACAAATAAATTATTTAAAAGTAAGATTATAATATCTGTAGAATGTATAGATAGTTGCAATGAATATTAACTATATTAAAACTTTTATGCAATTATACAAAGTGCCAGATAATAATATTTTAAGTGGAGTAGTAGCTGAACACACAATTTTAAATTTTCGGTGCTCTTCTTTTTGAGTTAAATATTAATTTGATGGGTTATAAAATAGTTTATTATGCATAAACTAAAAATGTTTCTCTCTATAGCTTCTTAAAATAACACTTGCTAAATGGACCATATAAGACCACTTTATTGTTGCTAACAACTTTAACTATATATGTATGTAGGTAATATATATGTATAATGAACAAACRATTGGGATAATAATAATTACTTGATGATCATAATCAAAAATCTAATAGCTTTTTTAAAATATATACGAATGTGTTATTAATAATTTTATGATGAAGCCAAATCAAATTTAAAAATAATACTTTTTATTAATAATTGAAATTCATGCTTTTCAAAGACACGTTTTTAAAAATATTTCATAATATTATTAATTTTCTCAATTTCAAAAAAAAAAAAAAACTGAATGTATTTGTTAAAGTTATTATGACTTTTTAATGAATTATATTTAAAAAAAAAAAAACACTATAAGTAGAATATTGCTTACTGCGATTGTTTACTCGAGTATTACAGTAGTATAGGATAAGCATTAATAACTATAGTTAATATTTTAAGTAGAAAAAAATAGCTTAGTTTAGTGGGTGTACCCATTGTTTAAAACTACGGATAAAATCTTTAAAATAAGTTTTTAAGTTCGAAGAGAAATGAGTATATAAACTAGTMATGTATTAAGCTATACAGCTTCCTATTTCTATAATTGCTATTTAAAACTATAATTTAGACGTATCACTAGTGTTACCACATATTTTTGTAATTTTGTACTAACATGATTACATGAATCACCTTGTCTTAGACTCAGCCAAATTAGTGTAGGTGCCAGCTATAAAAGAGTGATTTTTAAAATAGGTACTCATAATAATTTTAAGTCTATTCAAGGAGGTAAGGAATAAACAGTTGACAAATAAAATGTCAATGTGTATAGTAATCAAAATATAAAAAAAAAATCATTTTGGTTCTGAAATAGGGAAATAGGTAAGGAAATCGAATTTTTTAAGGAGATGAAACAACAATAGTAATTTCCGTTGTTTTTCTTGAACGAGCGCTATAAATAAAACAAAAAAAAAATTTAAAAAAAAAATAATAAACCTAATTGTAAAAACCCGGAACAATAATTTGTTGAGACGTAAAAATTGATAATACTAATGGTAAAGGTTTTATCGTATTGGACAGTGTGTATGACATGACCAGGTATGTATACACGTTTAATAATACACAATGCTCATATCTAGATGAAAATTTGTAAGTTTTATCAATAGGCAACGTTTCATAAAATCAGTTTTATTGTTTATTTAAAAAATTGTTGGAATATAATATTATTAATAATAATTATTATTATTATTATAGTAATAGTTATATTATTAAATATAATATACTTTTGACTAATTTATCATATAAAATTAAGTAATTAGGCTGGACGATTCTCAAAGTGATTCAAAGCTATAGCCTTTTTTTTTTTTATTATTATTATTTTAGTTTTCTTATATGAGTTTAATTTGTTTGGCGTCGTGATCGAGGGTCATATTTATTTTAAAACTACTGCCACTATCTTCTATATATTAATATACACTAACAGAAGCCATTAAAATCGATTATATTTGTTCAACACACCCGATGGTGGTCAAGCGAAACCATTCGATTTTATTAAATTCAAATAACTGATATACTAATGAATTGCTAGTTTCTCGTTTTGCAGTAAATAATAAATTATAATAAATAAAACTTCAGTAGGTAGCGGCCAACTATAAAATAAACACGCGCATGTACCTATTTTGCCTACTCATAGCGCCGTGTAATATTTAACGATAAAAAAAAAATATAAACATATCGATATAAAGCATATATTATTATTTTATATTAAGCGTATTTACACACGGACATCCAAATATCCGTTTGACGTTTCTAGCTAGTACGGGAAAAAATTACGGTTTTCACATAAAGTAAATAATTTAATGCTCATACATTGTTCATTAGACGTCGGTCGTCAACACGACAAAGAACAATACCGAAATGTTTTTTTATTTAACAAAAAAAAAGCTACTACGCTTAGGCTTGAATATATAATAATAATAATAACTCTAATGTTTGTCGATTTATTTGGATTATCGTGTTTACCGCCGCGTTTGTATATATCGCCGGCAAAACGAAATACAAAGGAGAGGCCATTAGGACGGCCATCCGAAATTTATAGCATCGGAATGGATTAAAACTGGACTAAAGCCGACGACGTCATTTCGGAGGTAAACACACTTATCCTCCGAGGATTAACCATTTATAGCGTTCTAAGTCCTGCCGGGGATATGCGAGTATATATGTATACTTATATATTAATATGTAAATATATATAATTATATATGTATATAATATACATATATATATATAGTATATACACATAACCCATACACACGTGTTTTTTTTCTGTCCACCGCTGACCTTAGCATTGTTTGTAAATCGCTTCATGCTTATATTCCCGCCGCACGCCGATATAACGATGATGATCACGGGATTATTTTTTTTTCCGTTTTGCTTCGTGGATATGACGAAAAAAAAAATAACAAACCCAATGACTTTTATACCCTTATACATTATTGAAAAGTTTAATAAGCTATTGGAAAAAGTTTAGACATTACGTTAAAAGCAACTACGCGACAGTACTAAAATGTCGATAGTTTTGTCCTGCTGCAGGCACCGTCATCTCTGAGGATTGAAATAGAAAAACAATCGTCTCGAGGATATYATCAGCCGAAAATGTCATCAGCACCACCATACTATGTAGATATGTGTGTGTAGGGCGTATACAAGAAACAAGTTAAAGAAAACATCAAATGTTTGCACTAGTGTTACACGATATATTTAGTACGTTAACCGAATATAATGTGATGTTTCACAGCGTACTTGTCTTATCCAAACGGTTAGGTACAAATAATTACAGCGTACGCAGATTTTTTAGAGTAGAGGTCACGTAGCGCGGGTATGTATACGATGACAAACTCGATAACAAGACACCTTCTATATACGTGTGCCTATGTATATCAAAATGTTATTTTTGTATAAATTCGTTTAAACAACGCCCCGAATATACATTTCGATTTTAATGGTTGGTGGAGAAAAACCTGTAATTTTTTTTTTCTTACACCGCTATTCCCCGTTCTGTACTTATCTGTGTACTCGTATATATATAATATATTGTCACAGCGCATAGATTTCAGAGTCAAAGGGTCAAACCCCGACTCTGGTACGGTGAAGTCTGAAAACGTCTTCTTAACGAGAATCATACGTGACATTTCGACACATTATACACTACGCGGGTTTTCGTTTCGCTTCTCTTTTTCTTTTCTCGTATTATTTTCCCTCTGCTCTGAGACCCATAACGCACAT